CAATCAGGAACTATCCTTCTAAATTCAAAGTACAGATGCAGAGTCCTCAACAGCTCCTCACATGAAAAGCCTTTCATCTCCAGGATCATTCTTATAAACCTCCACTGGACCCACTCCAACGCCAGCACATCCTTCCTTAGATGTGGAGCCCAAAACTGCTTATAATATTACAATATTCAATCTGATAGACTCAGCAATATTTTTTTACTCTTGTATTCTTGCCCTTTTGAAACAAATGTTAACATTGTATTTGCCTTCCTAACTGCAAACTGAACCTCCATGTTAACCTGAAGAGAATCCTGAACTAGGACTTCCAAGTCCCTTTGTGCTTCAGATTTCTGAAGTCTTTCCCCTTCAGAAAATAGCCTATGCTTCTCTCCTTCCTACCAAAGTGCATCACCTCACACTTTCCCACTTTTCATCTGCCACTTCTTTGCCCACTCTCCTAGCCTGTCCAAGTCTTTCTGCAGCCACCCTGCTTCCTCAACATTACCTGCCTTCCACCTATCTTTATGTCATCTGTAAACTTAGCAATAATACCCTCAGTTCCTTTGTCCACATCATTGATGGATAACATGAACAGTTGTGGTCCCAATACTGATCTTGGGAGAGGTCAGTTACCAGCCACCATTCTGAAAAAGACCCATTTATTCCTACTCTCTCTTCCAGTCAGCCAATCCTCTATCCATGCCAGTATCTTGCTCCTAACACCATGGGCTCTTGTCTTATTTAGCAGCCTCCTGTCACCATCTTATCAAAGGTCCTCCTGGAAATCCAAATAGATCACATTCACAGGTACTCCTTTGTCTAACCTGTGTGTACCTCCTCAAAGAAATCTAACAGATTTGTCAAACATGACCTCCACTTGAGAAGCAGTGCTGATTCAGCCATATTTTACCACACACTTCAAAGTACTCTGCAGTCTCATCCTTAGTAATGGACCCTAAAATCTTACCACCAACCTGAGGTGAGGCTAACTAGCTTATCCCTATCCTCTGCCTCCCTCTCTTTTTAAATAGGGGTATTACATTAGCTATTTTCTAGTCCTCTGGGACCCTCCCTGACTCCGTGATTCCTGAAATATCACCACCAATGCCTCTACAATCTCCTTAGCTATCTCCGTCAGAACTTGAGATGTAGTTCATTTTTCAGCTTCCCCAGCACCTTCTTAGTAATGGCTAATACACTCAGCTCATATTCTTTTGTATTACTAACTAGCTTACTCCCATATTTCATTTTCTCCCTCACCCATTTCTTTTTTAATTATCCTCTGTTGGATTTTAATGGCTTCCCAATCCTCTAGCTTCCCATCTATCTTCACCACATTCTATGTTTTTTCTATGCTGTCTCCAACTTCATTTGTCAGCCATGGTTGCCTCATCCTCCCCTTAATATATTTCTTTTTCCTTGGGATGAATTTCTGCAAGCTGCTTCTAAAAATCATCTCATAGACATTCTATGAATTCCTTTTTCTTGAGATCTGCTACCAACCTGATTTCCCCAGTCCATCTGCACATTGAAATTCATTATTATTGTAATAGTGCTTTTCTTACATGCCTTTTCTATCTCCTGACTTATTTTCTTCCCCACATCCTGACTACTGCTAGGAGTCATTTTCCTTTGCAGTTCCTCATTATCAATTTCGTACCTATTAACAAGGCAACCCCGCCCTCTCTGCCCATCTTTTCAATAGGACGTATTGTGATCCCCACAACATGATACCTGCCAATTTCAAACTACAATATAAGCTCATTTACTTTTTTACATATACTGCATGCATTTAGGTACAATACCCTCAGTCCTGTATTGACTGTCCTCTTCTCATCATTGTCCCCTCATCTGCTGTGCCTGAAGTTAGATTCCTGATCCTTTCCATACTCTCTGTCCTATTACTTGTTCCAGAAACTTTAATAACCTCTGCTGAGCCCTCCGCCCTTTTAAGTTTTTCCATAATTTTCCATGTAACTGTACCCCACTTCCCCCACCACTTAATTTAAAGCCCTATCTAAAACTCTAGTTACGCAATTCACCAGGACCCTGGTCCCAGCATGATTCAAGTGGAGCCCGTACTATCGGAACACTTCCTTCCTCCCCCAGTACTGGTGCCAATTCGAACCGCTTTTGCCATAGTAATCTTTGAGCCACACGTTCACCACATTAATCTTGTTGACCCTGTGATAATTTGCTCATGGCTCAGGCTCCAGAGAGTATTACCTTTTTTGTTCTGGTTTCTAATTTAGCCCCAAGCTGCTCATATTCCCTCAGCAGAATCTTTTTCCTCTTTCTACCTATATTGTTCGTGCCTACATGGACCATGACAACTGGATCTTTCTCCTTCCACTCCAGGTTCTTCTGCAGCCTGGACACCAGGTCCATCAGCTTCTACATTCATGCAGTTACAACACAGCACCTAGCCTGGCATTTCTATTTTAATCACTTAGTTGTTGACTTTTAAAAAAATCATATAGCCCCCTATTTATCTTCAACCTGAAAGTAACTCATAGTAGTTTTAAATCCAGGCGGCCCCTTAACCTAGGATATGCAGAACTGTTGCCTAACCTGAGGGTGCTTGTGGTACAATGGTAGTGTTTGTATCTTTGGACCAAGAGGCCTGAGTCAAGTCCCACTTGCTTTACAGCTGTGTCATAGCATCTCTCAACAGGTTAATTAGAAAATGTTTATTATATCCATTCCGCATTAGTGCATTGTAACATCCTGAAAAAGCTCAAGTTTATCAAACAAGATTTTCCATTTGCAAATCCATGCTGACTATGCCCAATCAGATAATTTTTATCCAAGAATGCATTTATTGGTCCATTGGGATAGATTCTAGAAACTGCTGTCAAGCTTATAGGTTTGTAGTTCCCTATTTCCTCTCATTTCTTTCTTAGAGGGGTGACATTTACAGGCTTCCAACCTGTGTACATCATTTCAGAATTTTTGGAATTTTGGAAGAGTATTAGAAATTCAGCAACTATCTCTACAGCCATTTCCTTCAACATTCTGGGATGTGGACTATCAGATCCCAAGGACTTAACTTGCAGCCCATTAATTTCTTCAGTATACCTTTGTTTAAAAATACTAATTTCCTAACTGCTTATGTTCCTAGTTGCTTGGATCTGTAATTGTTGGAGATTACTTGTGCCTTCTTCAAATAAACACAAAGTAATCACTTAGCTTGTCTGTCATTTCTGTGTTTCCCATTCAAGTTCATTTGACTCTGCCTGTAATGGATCCACATTCATCTTACCCAAACATTTCATAGAATCCCTACAGTGTGGAAACAGGCCCTTCAGCCCAACAAGTCCACACCAACCCTTGGAGCACCCCACCCAGACCCATCCCCCTATAACCCACCTAAACTACACATCCCTGAACACTACGGGCAATTTAGCATGGCCAATCCACCTAACTTGTACATCTTTGGACTGTGGGAGAAAACCAGAGCACCCGGAGGAAACCCACGCAGACACAGGGAGAACGTGCAAACTCCACATATACAGTTGGCCGAGGGTGGAATTGAACCCGGGTCCCTGGCGCTGAGAGGCAGCAGTGCTAACCACTGAGCCACCATTTCTTTTACAAGATGTAGGAATTTTTATAATTCATTTTTGTTTTTTTTGCTGGACTATTCATTTCTATCCTTCCTTTTCTGACCAGTTTCTTAATCCTCCTTTGCTCTGTTCTAAAAACTTCTTAGCCTTTGCTGTTAATCTTATAGAATCTTTAACTTCCTTTGTCAGCCACACTTGCTTTTTTTCAGTTTTTGCGTCTTGGAGGAATATGTTATTATTAACATGTAGCAGTTCTTTAAACATTGCCCTTTGTTTATGTAGTCATGCTCTTTACTGTATTTTCCCAATTCATCTCAGCCAATCATGTTGCATGCTTTCATAATCTCCCTTGTTCAAATTTAACACTTGCTCCAGACTAAACTATTTCACTATCACATATAAAATTCAATCATACTGTGGTCGCTCATTCATACAAAGTTAATTTACAGGAAACTAATTAGCCCTTAATTACACAATGAAAATCTAAAATAATAAGCTCAAAATGCCGCTTTCCAGAAATCTGTCCTCTGTAACTTTAGAGCTCAGTTGGTTTACCCAGACCATATGCATATTGAAGTCACTCGTAATAACTCCAAGCAATGTCCCCTGCCCCTTTCCTTTTTAGTTCCACCCAGATTCCATACACATTGTTCTCCTGATCAGAGCTTCTCTATTACTTATGTACTGATACTATCTTGTATCATCAGCACAACTTTATCTCCTTTTCTTTCTTTCCTGTCCTTCCCAAAATGTCAAAGAACTGTTTAGATTCCAGTCTCATGCAAGGATCAAGAGGAATTCTGAAACTCTTAAAATGGACTGTTTCCATTTTTGTTAACATTTACACATCAAAACAATCTCCTGAAAAGGCATGATTATAAGCTTATGTCTTAGCTACAGAAAAGACAATCTGAAATATTCAGACGAAGGAATCTCTTTTTGGAGATGGTGTTCTCCTGGATGTAGTACATTACCTCAATCACAAAATCCTGCCAGAACCTCAAGATGAAACTGCTTCACTTGATAACTAATGTTCTTCAATTCTACATCCCCTCAAACTTCATCTGTTCAGTTTGCTTGCACTTCAGTGTGTGTATATACATTGTGGAATATCTTAATGTTTATTCTTTTATTAAGTGAGTTTACAGTAGAAATAACTCCTCAACTATGTCAAATTAGGAAGAAAATGTTGTTTAAAAATTCCAAAACTGTTATACCAACCTCAGGAGTGAAGAGACAGGAATTTATTCACCCCCCGCCTAGATTTGGTCATAGCCTTATGTTATAAATTTAGTGATAAATTCATTTACTGTTAAGAAGAATTAATAGTTAATGTTTCCAGCCAAATGTAAATACAAAATTGATAACATTTAATTCTGATCCTGCATCGGTACATAATTTTGCTCTTGGCGGTTTTCTTTTAAAAAAAAAAACAGGAACCAACAATCGGAAAATTAAACAATTTATTTTTAAAAAATGCAAGACTACATCCAAGCAACAAGTAGCTGGGATTGTTAATTTAAAAAAATAAACTAAAAATTACACAAATAAACATGGTAATGTTTATTACATTGCTGTACAAACTTTCTTAGCTAAATATACAAGATAATTCTCACTTTGAAGATTACATCTTCTATTTCTTGTAGAGATTTTCGATAAGGCACCTGCAAACAAATTGTTGAACAGTAATCAAAAAGTGCACATTTTAGGACAGAATAACGGTAAAAGTTGTTGATTTCAAATTGGAGCATGAAAATTGTGATGTGGTCAGTGGAAGACTGCAGAATATATGCCCATTTTCTTGCTAATCTACATTAAACAATACAAATGCAAAAAGGAAATGTGCTACAAATTGAAGATTTTAAATGGAGTACGGTATACAGGTACACAGGATTTTTGCTAGTCCAATTAGATAAAGGACATAGAAAAAGATAAGGGAATACTGAATTTTGGATTCAGAAATTTACTTAAAGTTAACTGATTAAAAATTTCAATTTCTATTCATCTTTATTTTAAAAATAATTATTGCATGCACCTTAAATTTATTTAAGTTCTGTCGTGATAAAGATTCCCATACCTGTGCCTACAACTCATGCGTATTTAGTGCCATAGGTGATCTATTAGTTAATTTAACTTTAGCTAGCTCAGATTCATGGTTGTTGTATCAGCTGATGTCACTGGCATTACATACATTGATGTACTACTGCAGAAATTCACACCTCAATAAAAAACAAATGATTTTAGCATGAGCTATGAAGTGTCTTGGAATTGTGTTGTTGCATGACTTGTTTGATGAAATCTGGGATACATCAGTGTAATGCTGTGCAATTTTCAGTGCACAAATTGCAAAAATGTTAATTGTATGGCACACTGTCAAAGGAAGGCTAAACTTCAGTCCAGAACAAACACTGACTTGTCTAAGTACCTTTCTTTAAAACCGAGGTGACAAACATTAGTAGTCTGAATTGTCCACTTGATAAAAATGAACATTTTGAAAATGTACGCACGTTGAATATGTCAAAGAATTTAATCAATCAGTCTCCTTGCTTGGATGGCGGTATCATGGCATCTGCAATTTCAAATGTGTCAATTATTTCCTGCAAGATTTAAAAGATGTATTTTACTATCGGTAACACATGTACATAATTCAAATGTTAGTCAAAATAAATTAGGAAACCTAAATTATGAAAATGAAAAGCTTAAGTGGTTTGTTAACTACATATATCAGAAATTCTGGTTTATAGACCCAACAGGGGTCAACTATAATGGTAAATATGATGAAGAACCCTGCTTTCATATCACTACAACTTGCCTAACACAAGTTACTTTTCTTCTACATCCAAGCATGGTGGCTCAATGGTTAGTACTGCTGCGTCATAGCAGGGAGCCGGGTTCAATTCCAGCTCCAGGTGATTGTTTGTGTGGAGTTTGCACATTCTCATTGGGTCTGTGTGGTTTGCTGCCAGTTTCCTCCCACAGTTTAAAGATTTGCAGGTTAGGTGGATTGGCCATGCTAAATTGCCCATACCATCCAGAAATGTGCAGGCTAGGTGGATTTGCCATGGGAAATGTAGGTTTACAGCGGCTGGGTGGGATGCTCTTCAGAGGGTTGGTGTGAACTCAATGGGCCGAATAGTCTGCTTCCACACTGTAGGGATTCTATGAAGCAAAATATCAGAGCACTCACAGTATTTTAAAGATTCAAAGTATCTGTCAGCAGTCAATTCGAATAGGTAGGCATGTTAACTTGTGACATTCACAAATCATCCTACAAAATTGTTTCTTAATTCATTCATGGGATGTGAGCATTGCTGGCTTGGCCAGCATTTATTGCCCACTGATTAGCTGGTAGGACCATTGCAGAGGGCAGTTAAGAGTCAACTACATTGCTGAAGTCTGGAAGCACAAAGGCCAGATCAGGTAAGGACGGCAATGTCCCTCCATAAAAGGACAACAGTGACCAAACAGGTTTTTAAACACAATCAACAATGATGACATCTATTAATTGCAGATTTTTTTTTATATTGGATTCAAATTTCCACCATTTGCTTTGGTGGGATTCAAACACATATCCCCAGAACATCAACCCAGGGCTGTGGATTACCAGTCCAGTGACATTACCACCGCATCACCATCTCCCTTTAATGTGGTGTATGAAGTACATAAAAATCCTGAACAAAATGTTTTGATTCCAAGATTATTCTGAGTAAAGCCTCTCTCAACTTAAATTTGATTAAAAACTTCAAACAGACTTAATATAGTTACTTTTCTGGTAGTCAAGTTACTGTACCTACTTTCCACTCCTGCTGACTCAAAGAAATAACTGTCTGTTGCCTTTGTTGTTGTGGCCTTTCATTATCAACAGCTTCATTCACTGGCTCTGAAAATAAATATCACAAAAATACAAATTTCCTTTGATAATATATGGACACCTATGATTTATTTTTGTATATTTTATATGCATTGACAAATATCAGCTAATAGACACCATAATGACGATGTCTTGAAACCAATTTAAGTTAATTGAATTATTGACTCGATGCTAACAATGCCATTGGATCTCAGACTGCTGGACAACATTACAAAACAACTCACGTTTCATTGCTAATGGCCTACCTCAACCCAAAGCCAAGAGAACAGCTTTTCTGAGAAATCAAAACGTTATATAGTTATCTACGATTTGTGTTGAGACACATGTTGATGCCACCCAAAACAACTTAACATTCAGTCATCAATCTTAAATGGTAGACAATGACAGGCTGCAGTTCACAGAATAGCATGTAAACCAAGATCACAAGTTCAAAACCAGTGACCAGAGGACATTTTCTTGTGCCAAGAGCGTAAATAGAAGCCATTAACACAAGGTAGTGACTAAGAAATCCAAGAGAAAATTCAAAAGAAACTTTCTTTTACCCAAAAACCGATGAGAACATTGAACTCACTCCTACAAGGTGTCGTTGAAAATGAATAGATTTTTAATGGAAAGTTAGGCAAACATATCAGTGTGAAAGGAAGAGATGGTTAGGTGGTAGATTTATAGAAGGAAAGAAAGGAAGCAGCTCAAGTATGTGCATAATACTGGCATGAACTGAGCCAAAAGGCCTATCTTTGTGCCATATGTCCTATGTAAGCAACATGTCAGTTTTCCAATTCTAATTCTTGATTTCAAATTCTTCCCATGACTTTGTGCCTTTACATCTCCAAGTCCCTCCAGCTCTGGAAACCTCCATGACACCTGTGCTGCTCCAATTATAACCTCTTACATATTCCACTTTTAATCTTCCTTCCATTATTGGCTGTGCTTTCAGTTGCCAAGGCCCTAATATGTAACACCAACTGCTATATTCCTTTGAGAAACACTTAGTGATTCATCAAATCACAAAAAGGAAGCTACAACTGCAGTCCTGTTCAAGCAGAAGATTGTATGCATACAGACAGAAGAACAGGTTTAATAAAATGAATTATCCACAATCTTAACAACCGAACATCAACTTTGGAGATTGGTTTGTACATGATGGTGAAGGTGGATCAACTGCAACTGTTCTCTAAAATGTAGACAATATATAAATATAGTCGTTATGAAAATATGTACAATAAATTTGTCCACTACATTTACAAAAACAGACTTACATGTTTACTTATTTGTCAGCTCCTTTTTACAAATTATATTTCCCGTATACCATTTAGAGGCAGATTGAGCTCTGGTAATGACTTTCAAATATAAAAAAAAGGGAGGGACTTGCATTTACAGAGTGCATTTCGCATTCCCTGGGATACCCAAAACACTCTGAACAATCAACTAATGTACAGCAGGTACTGCAAACAAAAATGGGATACACAACCAAATGTGTTTTAACAACTCTGGATACGTACTGACCAGAAAACTGGGAGAATGCCTGTGCTCCTCTTCAAATAATGCGATGGGATTTAGTTATCTTTTTGAAAAGACAAGTTATTCTACGCAATAGATATATACATTAGTACTAATTAAGGATGCAGTCATATACTGTGCCCAGCTATAAAAGAAGTCTACAGATAAATGTCTAGAGTAACTCACCAATGATTGGTAGTTTATCTTGGTCAAGTCCAATGGCAGCAAATCCATCCTGAAAATATATTATACCATCATTTTAGATAACAGCCAGGAACTTAGGAGTTGGGGCTAGATCTAATAGTCAATAAGGCTCTTTGAAATGGAGAATTTCACACTACAAAGCACAATGTCAATAGGTCTTCAGACTAGAGGCAATTAGTGCACACAAAGTGCCTTGAACCACTCAACTTTTACAAAAAAGAAACCTTGCATTCCAATGATTCCATCATGCTTACTAAACATTCAACTACTATGGGAAAAATGATAAAAAGGTACAAGTAAGCACATTATAGATGCATCTACAAAGTATTGCCCAAGCTCGAATTAATACTTAATAGTCTCAGAGCAAAAGCTAAAATATCAATACAGTATTAGGTGCACAAGGGAAGTTTCTCTATCAACTTATTTGTACAAAATGGACCATTGAAGTACAGCATAGGAAATAATTCTTTATATTTTAGAGAAAATTTCCTAACCTGTACTGTAATACCTGGTCTCAGTTAAGCCAGCAGCAGTGATGCTATGACCAAATTTAGCACTGCTGGGTGAGAGGACGGACACTGTTCAGAAGCCTAGTTAGAGTTATCAACAAAGACAGCTATAACCCAAACTGTGACATCCTATGATGAATAGCCACAAGGATAACCAATATTCATGAGACAACATCAGAGCAAGAGACAGAACAGAAAATAACATCTTGCTCTTGCAAGATAGATTTTCTCCTCTTACACAATGCTTTTATGTACTGTTTGTGTAGAGGGAATTTTGGTGAAAATAGCTGCCCTTCGAGTCAATTATTTTATGTAACACTTACCCTCACAATGAAGGACACGTGGAATATGTTCTCCACAGTCCGTGCATAAGAATGTGGATCAATTACAAAGTCAAAGAAATTGATCGGCGTCTCAGCTGTAAAAATAATTCATTCAAAAAAATTATAATCTTCACAAGAGTCGCATTCTCTCTTCAAATCCTAATCTTATGAACCTTTTTAAAATATACTTTATGGTTGAGCAAATACCAGATTGCAGTGGAAACCAGCTAATAAAAGCCACAAAAAAGGTGTCTCAATTGTCATTATAAATTACACTTACTACCCGATGGCATTGCTCAAAAGCAAAATGGACAAGTTATAATTTACAAACAGGAAGTCAGAGAAAGTGATTGGTGAGAAAGGTGAATGAATTATATACGATTAGATAAAAGTTGTTATTGTAATGTGTCAAGGTATGTTAACAGTGGTAGAATGCAATATAGCAATGTTGTGGCAGTCATGTGTGCTGTCATTGCATGAAAGTGGCGATGAGTCAGAGATTAGACTGCTGAAAATAGGTGAGAGAAATGTTGAGGAAGGGATAAATACATCTGCAGCAATTGGTTCCCAACATAAACTTCTGAAGGCAAAAGATTGCTTGTTAAATTTGCTCACTTTGAACAATTCAGTGATTCAACATTGTTCATGGTTATTCTGCAGGTGGAATGGGACTGTGTGCAAGATCAGTGGAATTGACTCCTGGTTGCCAGGTGAGATCAAGAGTCATTCCTGTTAAGCCAGTCAAAAGTCAACCACCACTATGTTCAAAATGAACATTACCTTATCTAGACCAATTAAGGATTGGCAATAAATGCTGGCCTAACCAGCAATGCCCATATGCCATGAATGAATAAAAAGAATCAAATGTGAAACAGAAGATTATGAAGCCAAGAATGAGACAATCAAAATATATATGCATATATGACTGATTAAGAATGACTAAGAGTGAATGAAAAAACATGTATGACATAATGGTATCAATTGGAGAAAGTTCTATATACAAGTCAAATTTTAAGTACTACAAATAGTTGAGTCCTTTCATTATAGTGTTAAGTGCATTTACTACTACAAAAATATAGTTCTACTTTTCATTATTCAATTTTAAACTGTCTTAAATAGTAGTGCAAAGATTGTTTCAAAATGGTGTCAAGAGTTTTAACTGTAAAGAATAGCAACAGAATTCCAGCAATTAGCGTACTGCATGTACCATACTCACGGTCAGATTTGAAGTACTCCTGCAACAATCCCAAGATCCTTTCAACTTCTTTTTCAGTGGCTTCTTGATGAGATTCATCCATTTTCTTCAGCTTTTAAAAATAAGTGATTATAGAAGTTTGTTCAAAAATATCAAATCATTTCTTACATTTAAAAATCTAGCTAATTTTGTTTGCATAAAATCAATAATCTCCAAACTAACATCTTGAGTTTGCTGCTTTCATTTTCCTTTATTTCAAGCTATTTAAACGCCAGTGTGTGCACCTGTTTTCAGTGGCAGGCATGGCAGTTCTCAGGCACCCACTGGCAGAGGTCACTGAGTGAAGTTGCCAACTTCATCAAAACTACAGACAGTTTTGAAATTAGACTGCCTAGCATATTTCACCATGATTTCTGACAGAAAAAGAAGAGAATGATTAAAAAAAACTAAATGAATGTTTATGCAAAAGTCATGAAGTAAATCATAGGAGCATAGAATCCCTCCAGTGCGCAAGACATCATTTGACCCATCAAATCTACACTGACCTTCCAAACAGCATCCCACCCAGATCCAGCCCCCTAACCCTCTACCAGCTACCCTAAATTTACCATGGCTAAAACACCTAACCTGCACATCTTTAGACTGTGGGAGAATACCAGAGCACCCAACGGAAATTCATGCAGACGCAGGGAGAACAGTCACCCAAGGCTGGAATTGAACCCAGGTCCCTGGTACTTTGAGGTAGCAGCGAGAACCAACGGGCCACTAAGAATGAAAGAAGTTTGCATTTACCAGTACCGTAATCTTGTCCAGTTTAGTGCTAAGTTTAGTTGATCAGTTGACAAGAAACAAAATCTTATTACTTCTCAGGGAAGGAAAAGAATTTGCAGTTATAAAGAACTTAAATCTCAAGGTGCCTTAAATCCTTGCACAACTAATAAATTACAATAGTTCTTACAGTTCAAACAGTAACATAGGGAAATAAAACAGCTAATCTGCACACAAGACCGTGAAAACAAGACAGATGATTGGATAAACTGTTTAAGGGTATCGATTGTAGGATAAATGTGGACGAGGTCATTTGGAAAAATTCCCTCCTCATTCTAATCTCAAGATTTTTAACATTCTGAAAGCAGACAAGGCCACTGTTGAGCATTTCACCTGAAAAATAGCCCTGATACAATACCCTTTTATTATTGCATTAAGTGCAGGCTAGAATGTGCACAGATGACTTTGGAAGAGGGTTTGAAACCACAACATTCTGTCTCCAAAGAAAGAGCATGACAACTAAGCCACACTGACAACTTTCCTGAAGTACTGTTTGTAGGCCTTCTTCATTAGTACTTGCATCTATAGCCAAGTGGCTTGCCATCCAGTCTAGGTTGCTGTCACGTGTTAACCAGATTACAGATGGTAATCTTCCATCGCTGAAGGAAAGATATAATCCAGTTTTGCTTAAATTATAGACATTCCAAGGATAAATCAAAGCACTGATTTGTACAGGTTTTGAATAATTCCCAGTTTGAGATAAACCAGTCCATTGTTTTTGTCTTTAAAAAACATAGGCAGCTTTCAGTTCATCAGTACTCCAAATACTGCCATACTAAATTAAACCCAACTTTACAATTACACATGTGATAGTTACGTGAACAGGCAGTATTAGACTGGGGGCTTATGTACAGTGGAAGTTGTAAAGGAGGGTGCTGGGAGTGTCAATGTAGCTAAAAAAAAAAAAAGTGGGCAAATGGATGCATGGAAAGGTAGGCAGCTTGGCTGTCATTTAAACTGAAAAGCCATTTTAATAGGTCAGATTTATTCCATGTGTTCGGCACTTATTTAGGAATCAATTAAGAAAAATAGGGACCAAGAGTGGAAGGGTATAATAAAAAGCCTTAATCTTCCATATTATCTAAAAAGATATTACAGAATTAGAAAAAAAGGCTAAACCAAACTTTTAAAACTGCAAATTAAATTAAAAGGCTAGGCACTGTTTGCACACCATTGATTTGACTTTCAAATAAATTAATTCCTTCTTCATTTAAATTGATGTTTTGGTATTTTTGTAATTAATGCTCAGTTACAAACTCCTTGTTTGCTCATTTTTGGTTTTGCACTGTTCTAGTAAATCACAGGATCAAAAAATGTTTGGTTACTACTTTACAGGAAAAGTAGATGTTTTACAGCTCTGAGTAGATTTATAAGATCCAGATTCTTAATTAAAAGGGTTGAATAATGACGCATGTACCAAATACTTAGATCTAGGAAGTCTTCTGTGAGCTATAGGTTGTGAGGAATAAGCTAAAAGGCATCAAAGGAAAATAGATCAATTAAGCAATGGAAGTTTTTATTTTACAAAATGGAGATAGAATTATCCTTTGTCTGTTCTGCTGTTGAAGTGTTTTGGATCACGCTTTTGTCTGACACCTCCCTCCCACTACATTAAGATGGCAATCCAAAATCACCACACTCTGCAAGACCACCATCTTTGGGGGTCAAAGAAAGAAAACTTTAAATATTGCAAGTTGGAATGTGAGAATTTATATTCCACTGACAACGTTATTGATGAGTCACAGCAGCAACAGTGAAGAAAAGTGAAGTGACATGTGACATCTTGTCCCATGTGCCCAAAGATCTGCAGGTCCAGAATCAGCCCATTAGGGCACATTAAGACCCATGCAAGAAATTTTTGACCTCAGATAGAGGTCATTTTCAAATCAAGGAACTGCTACAAACAGCAACAGAGTTATGGGAGACACAAAAAAAAAAACTGCAGATGCTGGAATCCAAGGTAGACAAACAGGAGGCTGGAAGAACACAGCAAGCCAGACAGCATCTGGAGGAAAGGAGCAGTCAACGTTTCGGGTGTTACCCTTCTTCATATCAGTTGAAGTAGTGAAGTTGAACAGTATGGTTATTAAATCGTATTTCCTAAATAAAATCTAACATACTCAACACTTGGAAAGGCAGGGATTGATTGGGGATATTCATCACGGATTTGTTAAGAGAGAGATTCTGTCTGACAAATTTGAGTTTTTTTTGAAAAGGTGACTGAATAAACTGATGAGGGTAGTGCAGTTGATATGGTTTACATGGATGTCCGTAAGGACATTGACATGGAAGCCTGGTCCAAAAGGCAAGAGCCCAAGGGATCCAAGGCAAGTTGGCAAAGTGGATCCAAAATTGGCTTGCAAACAGGAGGCAAAGATTGATAGTGAAGAGCTGTTTTGTGATTGAAGCCTGCGTTCAGTAGTGTACCACAGAGTTCGGTGGTGGGACTCTTGCTGTTTGTTGTGTACATTAACAACTTGGATGTGAATGTAGAAAGGCGGGGAGGAGAATGTGGGGTGTGGGGGGCTCCACTTGAGGAATACAAAATTTTGAGGCATAGACAGAATAAATTGTGACAATCTTTTCCCTGTAGCAAACAGGAGGCATAAGTTTAAAGGTGAGGAGTAAGTGGCTTAGAGAAGATCTGAAGAAAAATATTTTCACCCACAGGATGGTAGAAACATCAATGTGCTGCCTGAGAGTGTGATGGAGAAGGTACTCATGCAACATTTAAGCAACATCTCAATGAGCGCTTAAAATGCCAGGGCACTGTAGATTATGGAGGTAAATGCAGTGCAAGCAAATGGGATTCGCATTGTTTGGTGTTTGTTGGTCAGCATACACATAGTGAGCCAAAAGGCCTGTTTCTATGCTGTGTGACTCCATAGTATGTGGACAATGCAGGCAAGGCCACATTTCTTAGCCATCCCTCGTTGCTCATGACAGAAGATTGGCTAACTAATAGGTGACAAAGAGTTGGGATGAGATGGCCATTTTCAGGATGGCAACTTGTAACTACTGATATGCCACAGGGATCAGTGCTGGGGCATAATTATTTACAATATACATTAATGTCTCTGATGAGGAAGGTGAATGTAATAAAGCCAAGTTTGTGGATGACACAAATAGATGGAAAGATGATAGGTGATGATACGGAGAGTTTGCAGAAAGATATAGACAAGTTAAATGAGTGGGTGAGAACTAGGCAGATGGAATATACTATGAGGAAATGTAAGGTTATGCATATTGCCAAGAAGAATAGAGGAGAGGAGTATTATTTGAATGAAGAAAGACTACAGAAAGCTACAGAATAGAATTTGAGAGAGTCCTCGTTCATGAATAACAAAAAGCTACCATCCAAGTTCAGCAGGTAATAGGGAAGAGAAATGGAATGTTGCCCTTTATTTCAAAGGATGTGAAGTTTAAAATTAAGGAGATTATATACAAGGCATGAGTCAAACCACAGCTGGAATACAGTGAAAGTTTTGGGCCCCTTATTGAAAGAAAAGATATGCAGGCTTTGGAGGCAATCCAGAGAAGATTCACTAGGCTCAAACCAGGTATAGAGGGTTTGTTTTACGAAGATGGATTGAGGTAGCTGGGCCTATACTCATCGAAATTTAGGAAAAAAATGAAAGGCACTCTTATTGAAACATACAAGAGTTTCAGGGGACTTGACAGAGTAGATGTGGAAAGATTGTTTCCCCTTTTGGGAGAATCTAGGATGAGAGAGCATAATCTCAGACTAACGGATCGCACAGTTAAGACAGAAATGAGCAGGAATTTCTTCTTTCAGAAGGATGTGAATCTGTGGAATTCTTTACCTGCTATTGCTGTTAAGGCATATATTCAAGACTGAGACAGACAGATTTTTAATCAGTAAGAGAATCAAGGGTTATTGGTAAAGGCAGGAAAGTGAGGTTGAGCATTATTATCAGTCACAATCTCACTGAATGATGGAGCAGACTCGATGAGCTAAATGGCCTACTCCTGCTCATACATCTTACCCTCTTATAGAAAAGGACCTAGCTATGCCACTTCAGAGAACATTTCAGAATGAATCCTCAACAAGACATTGGTCACACACAGGCCAGACCAGTGGGCACGACCGATACGGTTCTCTAAAAAGGATATTAGCGAACAATTGGCTTGTTTTACTGAACAGAGTTAAGCTTCCAGAATCAGTGATTCTTTCTAATCTTTGTTGCTAGACACAGGGTACTAAACAGGGCAGGAGAAGCAATGGCCGAGTGGTGCAATTGCTGAATTATTAATCCAGAGGACCAAGTTCTGGGGACCTGGGTTCAAATCCTGCCATGGCAGATGGTGAAATCTGAATTCAATAAAAACAGGAAGTTTAATTATGACATCAAATCCATTGTTGGAAAAACCCATCTGGCTCACCAAAGTCCTTTCGAGAACGAAACTACTATCCTTTCCTGGTCGGGCCTAAGTGACTCCAGACCCACAGCAACGGGTTTGTTTCTTAAATGCCCTCTGGGCAATTAGGAATGGGCAATAAACTCGCCTGAATCAAAAACAAAAGAACTTCAATTGAACTCTATTAACATTTTAAAATCAAGACCTTTGGATTGTTGGTCTAACACCAGCATAATCTAGGTGGTTTGTACACAGGACTTGTGGTTCCAGATCACAGTAAAGAAAACAAGAAAATAATATTTCAGGAGGACATGATGGCCTACTGGTATTATCACTAGACTATTAATCCAGAGACCTGGTAATGTCTGGGGATCGAGGTTTGAATCCTGCCACACCAGATGGTAGAACTTGAATTCAATAAATATCTGGAATTAGGTGATCACGAAACCATTCTCGATTGTCGAAAAATCCCATCTAGTTCACTAATGTCCTTTAGGGAAGGAAACTGACATCTTTACCTGGGTGTGACCTGCAAATGACCCCAGACCCATAACAATGTGGTTGACTCTTAAACTGCCTTCTGGGCAAATAGGGATGGGTAATAATGCTGGTCTGGCCAGTTATGCCCACATTCCATGAAATAATAAGAAAAAAAAGGGGAAGTTTAGACATGCTGACTAAATTTTTGTGCCCTTGTCCAAAACTTACTGTGTTATTACAAAAGCCAGACAGAGAACTTCACACTTGTGTGATTGCTGTACACAACGTTGTTTGTATTTGTGTTGGTCCACATGTAATCCAAGAGGTTTTGCTGAGTTTAAAAGACAACCTGAACTCAGGCGTGGAAACATTGAAATGCAGATCTATAAAGGAGCATTAAAACAAAAAAAAAAAATCAATCAATCAATCAATCAACAAACCTGTGTTGGCATTATTCTATGTTCTTCCTTTGTTGGGGCCCTCTTCTGTCTCTCAGTTCTCTGTCGGGGAACTGGAGGTTCACTCTTGAAAGACCCCAGCCTAGATCATAAGACAGAAATGTTCAAGATAAACTTGCGTTTGCACAGTACTCAACATAACAAGTTATGACCACCAATAAAATTGACAGTCAGTGAAGCATCTTTGAAATACAGTCAGTTTTGCCTTGTATTTGGACTGCAGCGCCACAAAGTTGGCATTGTTATGAGTAACAGGAGAAAAACGTGCTCAACTTACATAAAATGAAAGGCCGGAGCTCTTTTAAAATATTTCTCAGCTTCTTTTCCAAGTTTGGTCCAGGCATCTTTTGGAAGCCACCCTGCAGATTCATCATCATCATCACTCCCTTCAGTTTCTAGTCGGTTCAAGCCCATGAATGTTAACTGCGCACAAGTTATTTATATCCAACAGTATTAGAATTAGCATTTAAATTTTGTGAAGTGAAAAACAAACTATTTCATTGTGGCTATTAACTGTTAAAATAACTTGTGACATTGTGATTTATACATTAATTTTCATTCCAACTTTAATAAACAAATTTGTGGTATACATAACAGATTTTAGATTTTGTTTTCTAGCTGTGTATTCCTCCTCCTAATCTAGCAATACATACCATATCAAATGAGGTGATAAAATCAGTACTCAATTTAAACATCTGGTCACAATAGTCTTATTGATTAAGCATAAAACCAGCAAAGACTCCTCCTCTTTCTCTCGGAAACAAAGGTTATTACCATATGATTTTAATCTTTGTGAAACAATAAGCAAAGGTGAACAAATGTTAATAAACACCAGAAATTATTAGAAATCAATACTTTTGATTTAAAATAAATCTAATACTGTATAACTGTAAAAGCCAAGACCACAAAGTAATTACCAAACCACACAAATGTCAAAGCTATTGGATAGGTACAGTAATCATTACTGATTCTAATCAGGATAATTATGCAAGCTAAATGATCTGATACAAAATGAAAGAAAGCAGAGTTTAAACATGTTTTCAGCTTGATGTTTGGGATGAACTTGAAAGCTCTTCAATTTATTTTTCCAATACTTTTGCATGCAATGAAAACTTACTAGTTCCTCTGCAAAGACTGAAGGGTCAAAAACCATCATGTCTGTGTGTAACTGATTAGCTTTCTCTTGACCAAGGTTTGTTGCAAGCACCAGAAACTGCGCATCCAATGCTGCCTCGCGTGTCTGTCGGACTGAAAAATACATAATAAGGCATAATTTAAATTTTCAAGTAGTGTGCAGTGTTCAAAGTCACACGAGGTTCCTGTACAATATAATCATTCAGCTACTGGATATTTACACCCCCATAGATTCATGGTGATGAACAAATACCAAGAGACTGAGGAAATTAGGGCTAGAAGAGAAAATGTACACCACTGACTATTGTCTTTTTGATCACCTTAACCAAGCTAAAGGCCAGATAACTTTCAATTATAGTCTATATTTTTAGATATGGCCTGAACAGGAAACTGATTGGTGCTGTATTAGCCTGTTTAGAACATAAGAACATAAAAACTAGGAGCAGGAGCAGGCCGTCTGGCCCCTCGAGCCTGCTCCACCATTCAACAAGATCATGGCTGATCCTTTCGTGGACTCAGATCCACTTACCCGCGTTCTCACCGTATCCCTTAACTCCTTTATTGTTCAAAAAAAAAAAATCTACCTTTTTTTTAAAAAACATTTACTGAAGTAGCATCAACTACTTCACTGGGCAAGGAATTCCATAGATTAACAACCCTCTGGGTGAAGAAATTCCTTCTCAGTTCAGTCCTAAATCTGCTCCCTCTAATCTTGAGGCTATGCCCTCTTGTCCTAGCTTCACCTGCCAGTGGAAACATCCTCTCTACTTCTATCTTATCTATTCCCTTCAAAATTTTATATGTTTCTATAAGATCCCCCCACAATCTTCTGAATTCCAATGAATATAATCCCAATCTACTCAGTCTCTCCTCATAAGCCAACCGCCTCAACTCCGGAATCAACCTAGTGAACCTCCTTTGCACCCCCTCCAGTGCCAATACATCCTTTCTCAAGTAAGGAGACCAAAACTGCACACAGTACTCCAGGTGTGGCCTCACCAGCACCAGCACCTTGTACAGCTGCAACATAACCTCTCTGCTTTTTATTTCAATCCCGTTAGTTGGTTTCAGACATAAAAAGTTTGTATTTTTGGATTTCACTGCATTGTAACCTCTCATTTGTACACACGTACATAGTATTAATAGAGCACTCACCATTGGAAAACAGCTTGTTTGCTTCTTCAAGTGCTTCTGTTAGTTTATTACTGTTCGGTCTGATCATGTCCTCTCGATTTTCTGAAACATTGAGGAGAATGCAAATCAGGGAACCACATATCAAAAATTCTGTGGATTATTTGACTGCAACTCCAGAGAAGACTATGAAGAAAGGGAGATGATGTCATTACAGCATACAAACAGAAACAAAAATTTAAATAATTTAGGGCATTGGAAACTGTTGACGCTTGTATTTGTCAAATTCATCTCAATTCATGACATTCAGGATATTAGAGATGAAAACAACAAATTAACAACGTGAAGCAAAAGATTCCACCAATTCATTAGTAGTGGCAGAATTTCTGCCAAACTTGCAGCTGTGGCTGATCATTGCCCCCTTGATGCAAGGGTAATAAGCATAAAGAGTAGATGCGAAGAAAATCTTCTGGAAATGAAATCGAGCTAAGAATCCTGATTCACATAAACACTAATGTTTTAGAAAAGAACAGAATGGAGATCTTGCAGCAAGTGCTTGAGGAACTATGTAACCACCTGAGGAACACTGATCACAGGCTCACTTCCACTATCATAAACTATGGTCCAAGCAGAATCAGATTAGATCCATTTATAGACAGAGTGGAATAAACAGGCGAATTCCAGATTCTACTAACATTGGATGAAGTCCTGAGATGAAACTGTTCACACCAACTTTATTTCACACAAACCAAATTGGTAACCACTCTAGGACAGTAGGTGAGCAAATGAAGTGGTAAAGCAGAGCAATTTGACTGGCTTTCAGAATCATATTCTGCAACGACACATTTTCTCATGAAAGCCACAAACCAGCAACTTCGGACATTTTTAAAAATCAACCTGTTCAGACATTTTATTACACACCTCCGGAGCAGATGAGAACTGAACTTAAATCTCCCGCTCGAACGTAGTCTTATTGTTCAAGTCTAACCGAGTGGAAATTATTGTTAAACCCTATTATAAAGGGCAAGCCTGCTCAAAAAAAGGAAAAGCCTGTTCACAAATAACATAGATGCAGGTGCAGGTAACTCGGTATCAAACTGGCCCGTGGTATTTATATGGACAAGAGATTCTATTGTTATTTAATTTTACATGTTTCCTATTGGAGTTCACGGGGGAAGAGGGACGACCCAGGGTGTCCTGATGAGAGTGAGAAGAGGTTACAATATGAACTGGGGGGCCGGAGGCCGGTCCCCGTGCCTGCTCACTCACGCTGAACGCTGTTGATGAGTTCCCGGTACTGGTGCCTCAGCATCCTCCGGCGGTTCGGGTCATCATCCCGGGCCCCATACGGAATGGCGCCGTCGACCAGCTCCTCGTCCTCGGTCATGGTACAATCCGAGACGGCTGAGTTCCTCCTGCCGCGCTGCGGAGTTCCCGCTCCGGCCATGGTGCCGTTGGAGGTGCCTGCGGCGGAGCGCTGCGATCCCCCAGTGGGGTGAGGGGCTCGGGCTCGGCCTCGACCTTTGCCCTCAGACATTGTTTCCCCCCCTCCTCCGCCAAACCCCCTCAGTACAGAGCCAAACCAGCGCCTTTCCAGCACGTCACCTCCAGAGACGTCGTTCAGATGCGCCGGAAGTCAAAGACACCGACTCTTAGTTTATAGTTGAACATGTTTCCCAGGTTTGCATCATCTGTGAAGGAGGAACAGTGTTAGTGTTTGAGATTTTAATTTTTATTAAAATAAAAGTTCTATATCGAGCCTCCTTGACCTGACCGTCTTCCCTGGACTGACCAATCCCCACCTACATTCACCTTTACTGGCTCCATCCCCGCCTCTTTGACCTGTCTGTCTCCTCTCCACCTATCTGCTCCTTTATCCATCTTCTATCCGCCTCCCCCTCTTTCCCTATTTATTTCAGATTCCCCTTCTCCTCCCCCATTTCTGAAAAAGGGTCCAGACCCGAAAGGTCGCTTTTTCTGCTCCTCGGCCTGCTGTGTTCATCCACCTCGATACCTTGTTATCTCTTATCTTCTATATAGGGTAATTCTTTTATGTAAGTGGGGGGAAAAAAACCAAAACAAATTATTGGAGAAACTCAGCAGAATCTATAGGTGGCAGGCTGGAAAAGCACAGCAGGTCAGACAGCATCAGAAGAGCGAAAAAGTCAACGTTTTGGGCCAAAATCCTTCAATACGACTCGGTCCACTAACGTTGATTTATCCTACTTTGATACTGTCTGACTTGCTGCGCTTTTCCAGCCTCGCACCTATAGGCTCAGGCTTCCAGCATCTACAGTCCTTATTTCTCTGGAGAAAATTTGCAGGTCTGATAGCATCAGTGGAAAGAAAACAAAGTTAACGTTTGAAATCTAATGACCTTCTTCAGAACCAATAGCTAGGAAAAGGTGGTATTTAAGCTCATCACAGGGTGGGGCATGAAGGAGTGAGCAATTAGATGGAGACAGCCCAATGAGAGAGAAATTAATAAAAATAGAAACTGTTGGATAAACTCAGCAAGTCTGACAGCATCTGTGAAGAAACAGGAGAGTTGACATTTCAGGTCCAGTGAATGAACTGTGTTAGATTAGAAAAGTGGAAGATCACAAAAAGAGTTGCTAGAGCCAGTTACATACACACAATCAAAAGATGGGTGCAGAGGAGGAGTAAGTGAATGATACAAAGAAGAATTGTGGCAAGAAAGCAACAATGAGAGCAACAACAGTCTAGTGGGGCAATGCTGCATGAGGGAACAAAGATTATTGTCTCAATGTTGTAGAAATTGTGTCCAGAAAGCTGTAAGGTGCGTGGTCAAAAGATGAAATGCTCACGTTGAACTTTCTTGGAATACTGAAGGAGACCAGAAACAGCTGTTATTATGAGAGCAATTGCTCTTAAGGTGTACAATTGCAATGGTGGGCCACCATGTTAACAGACTGATTGGGTGATTGACAGCATCTGGAAAGCAATCTGCAATTTGTCTACACAATGTGAAGAAACCATGATAGAAACAGTGGATTCCTTGCTGTTTTCTTTACTGAACCTCCCAAGGAGCCCAAAGTAGCTTCATAAAAGCAAATAATCATATTTGAAATGTTGACTTGTTGGAAATTAGATCTGTTAGCATTTCAAGTCTGTGACCTTTCAGTTGTTTCTTTTGCTCCTTGTGGCGACACAATGGTTAGCACTGCTGTCCTCCCCCTTGGGCAATTTTCTTTGTGGAGTTTGCAGGTTTTCCCCCTGTCTGAGTGGGTTTTCTCCAGATGATGCAGTTTCCTCTGGTGGATTGTCCATGCTAAATTGCCCTGCAGTATGCATGCTAGGTGGGTTAAAATAGTAAATGTGGCATTACAGGTATAGGGTGGGATGCTTTTTGGAGTGTCAGTGTGGACCTGATGGGCCAAATAGCCTCTATCTGCACTGTAGGTATTCTAGTACATTAGCTCTGTTTCTGTCTGTGTAGGTGTGGACAAAATTGTTTGAATATTTCCAGCACTTTTTGTTTTGATTTGAGGTTTGCAGCAGCTGTATTCTAGAAATTGATACCACAAAACAAATAAAACTTGCAAAATTTAAACAATAATGTTGTGTCTTGAGGTCAGACCTCAAATGGTTGATATTGCATATTCTTTTTCTGGGGCTATTTGAGTGTAGGCAAAGCCAGGGAAGAGAATAGGCTCCCTACAGGTGTATATTCTTAATGAAACCATAAGGGGACACTGTTGCCTCAGTCAATTGGAAACCAAATGAAAATCATCACAGAATCCCTACAGTGTGGTAACAGGCCCCTTGGCCCAACATGTCCACACTGACACTCAGAGCATCCCACCCAGCTATAACCCACCTAATCTACACATCCCTGAACACTGTGGGCAATTTAGCACAGCCAATCTACCTAACCTGTCCCCCTTTGGGCTGTGGGAGGAAACTGGGGCACCTGGAGGAAACCCACACAGACATGGGGAGAACTCCACACAGTCACATGAGGGTGGAATTGAACCCAGGTCCCTGGTGCTGTGAGGCAGCAGTGCTAGCCACTGTGCTGTCCCTTTGTAAATGGGGACAAATAATAAAGAATGTAAAAGAACTTAGGTTAAAAATATTGCTCCATCACCCAGTCCCCATAATGTCACCAGACAAGCAAAGCCTGAAGATTGCCTGTTGAGACGTGCTCCTTATCTAGAATCATCTCAGTGCAGAAAAGGCAGGGGATGAGAGACCAGCTCTTGACACATGCTAACTGACCAACAGTGTATTTTCAGTATTTTCAGTTTTTGGTTTGGATCGCCAGCATCTGCAATTTTGTTTTTGATTGTACATTTCAGACATACGTGCTAGATTCAAGAGTCATTTAGCTATAAACATGCAACATGTTCTGATGTGTCTCCTCCTGAAATGTAAATTGGACACAAAAGTGCCAGGGGCACTCGCACCTCCAGGCCTGCACTTCCTGTGCACCCTTGGAACATTGCAGTGGGAAGAGTATGCACAAAGGTGCATCCCTTTGCGTGTCAGGAGGCTTTGTGCAGTCAGTACTATTCAGATGATACACAGCAGGCTAATGCAATGCCAAGATTCTAAGTAAGATAATGCTATAGTCTCTGCAACAATTTGGTATATTATTCTTCGAAATACAGTTAGAAAGAGACAAGATGGATCCGCCATACAGGGCCTATTTAAAAGACAGAGTTTCAAATTATAGATTTTTGACTTGGTGGGAGCACTGCATGGAGTTCCTGGAGCTGTTTGGTGGATATAAGATTCTGAAAGCAATCAGATAAGATAGAGTAATGGACCCAGTGAGGGGTCAGTTGTTGCAGTGTTTTTTATGTCTGCAGGATGCCAAGGAATGGAATGGAGGGGAGAGGAGGTAAGCTATACAAGCACAGAGCAGAAGGAGGCTGTCCATGAAGGCCCTACACATCACAGGTATTCTGCAAGAAATACTCTTACATGAACTAGTAAAAATGCCTGAGATGGCTTGGATTCACTGAGAAAACAGTCACAGAGTGCAGCTGACCTCAGGCTTCACAGCTGACCTCAGGCTTCACAACAGACCAAGGATGACATTCCCAGTGGCTGACAATGGAACTTGCCATTGTCCTGAATTTTTATGCCTTTTGAAACTTCCAGGTAGCAACGGATGACATTGTGAATATACCACAGTATGAAGTTCCTTGAAGCATTTTTGGATCCCTGATGGGGTACACCTTAGTCAAATCCATGAGTTTGGTGCCTGTTCCTGCATGAAAAATGTCCTGACAGTAGCATTCTAATAAATGGTGCCCGTGCTCCAAAGTGCAGCATTGAAGTACAGAATCATGTTATAAGTGGATTGGACTCATTTCTGCCTGCAGCCTAAGCAGCAAACATAGTATACGTGCATCAACATGTCTCAAAGTCTAAAGGGTGTAATCCTCACTCAAGTCAAGGGAAATGCTCTTCAGTCAGTAGTCCTGGCGCAGCAAGTCAAGGCCGTCCAGGGGCTTGGGCACAGTCATTCGACCACTTGAGGAGGTCAGGGTGAAGGGATCAGTACCTCCACATTCTGGGGAATTAACCCCAGTCAGTCCTGTAGGTCTGGTGCAAACAGTCTTGGGAGTCACAGTAAGTCACTCGGAAAGCTGCACAGATTTCAACCAGGGTTACAATCAGTCGTCAGAAGGGCTGACCATCCAGGTCTGTCAAGGGGTGGGTCACAAAGAGTGTCAGTCCTAGAGCCCGTCCATTAAAAGGCAAAGGAGGGTTTATCAGGAGCCAGTGCTGTGGTAGTGAAACTGGGGAACTCAATTGTGATATTTGCAGGCAGAATGATGGGATGCGCAATGAAGCAGGAAATTCAAATGTAAAGGGGAGAGATGATAGAGGTTAGGAGGGAATGAGATAATCAACAATCAGCATGACAACCATGACAAGTAGAGGGGAGGTGATGATCTAATTGCATTAACACTAGACTACTATTCCAGAGACCCAGATAGTGTTCTAGGTACCTGGAATTCTAGCCATCATGGTAGAACTTGAATTTAACTAAAATATACCTGGGATCAAGAGCTTAATGTTGACCATGAAACTGTTGCCAACTGTTGGAAAAACCTATCTGGTTCACTATGCCCTTGAAGGAAAGAAATCTGCCATCCTTATCTGGTCTGGCCTACATGTGACTCTAGACCCACAACAATGTGGTTGACTCTTAACTGCCCTCTGGACAATTGATAACTGGGCAATAAATACTGGCCTGGCTAGTGACTTCCACATCCCATGAATGAATTTTATAAAAACACCAATCTGGCTTTAATGGGGAGACAGTTCATTTCTATGTCTGGCATGAATGATGCAGTATGCTTAGGGTTCAGAGGGTAATATGGGGAGAAATTGACAGTTTGGTTTAAAGAAGCAGTTTAGTTTCCCTGGAGCTGGATTTACTCTGTGTTTTTTGAGTCACTTATTTTAATAGAATTTTAAAATAAAAATTAGCAACCTGCAATTCATGCCATAAATTCCTTTCCAGTTTCCCTTTCATGAGTACACTCATACTTTGAGCAGTGCTGAATGTTTACAAAAGAAAGTCATCTATGCATTGAAATAAAAGCCAGGATTAGAGCCTGTTCATTTTAACCTGATGACA